ATAAGACAAATAGTTTTAAAAATAATACCTCTTGAGAAAAAGTATGAACAAATAGGTATTTTCATACTGCTGCTTAGAAGGTAAACTAGAACAATCTTTCCTAGAGAGTATTTTGGCAACATATGTTATAGACCTTTGAAAGTAAGTGAAGTGGATCTATACTTGTTAATAAGTTACAGTCTCCAAAATGTGTTGACAGTGGTTGCTTTTGGAGAGGAGTACAGGTATCTGGGTTAGGAAAGAAACTTAGTTTTCTAGACTGCCCTTTTGAACTATTTACATTTTACATCATGTGGATATATTACTCTATTAATTTTAAAAAGAATAAAGGAAATGCAAGGAAACATTAAATATTTTAAGATCATTTAAATGGAGCCAAACAATTTATAACTAGATGCATAAAGGGATTAAATGCCCATTAACCAAAGACTCAGGTTAGGTAAAAAATATAACAGGAGTGATTGAAACGAAATTTCTTCTAGGGATTTATCTTAAAGGTTCTCAAAGTTTGGTCTGCAGATTCCTGGTATCCTTGATCTTTTCAGAGGATCTCCAGTTTCAGAATTGTTTCGTAATAATGCTAAGGTGCTATTGGCCTTTTTCACGCGGTTGGCACTCGCTTTGGTGGTGCACAAACAGTGGTGGGTAGCACAGCTGGGCCTCAGCACTTTAGGACAGTGGCACCGCTGTGCAAGTAGTCACTGCATTCTTCACTGTCATGTACTTGCAATTTTAAAAACGCCAATTTCTTTTTAAATGTCCTTGAAAACAGAAGTCTTTTTAATATTTTGCATGATAGATTGGGAGTAGGCATAAATTACAGTGGTTATTTGGAGGTAAAGCACTAGTGCAGTTGTTTGAGTTATAAGCAGATTACTCTTTATGAAACACCATTTTTACGTAAAAGCATGGTTGGCAAACTATAGCTGTTCTAATTTCAATATTAGATTTTTCTTGTAAATGAATAATATGAACATGGCATTTGAAAGAAAAGCAATGGACGGTATTTGCTGCTAATAGTAAAATTTAAATGGAAACAACCTAAGTGTCCATTGACAGACAAAT